TATCATTGCTCTTTTTAAATATAGTGAGTCCAACACATTCACGCAGAGTATGTGTACAAATATATGGAAGATGTAAATTAAATTTGGTGAGAAAAATTATTTATGTTCAAAAATTAGTAAATAATTATATTTTCTTCATTTTTTTGGTTGGGATATTTATTTTTGTTGATAAAAATTTGGTTTAAGTCAAATCGATAGTGATTGCAGACTTAAATAAATTTTAAATAAACATAAATAAAAATCAGGATTTGTGGTTAAGTTTAATGCCTTAAACAAATTAAGGACTTTCTTGAAGGTAATTAAATAAAAAAAGAAATAAAACAGAACAGAATATGTATTAATTGGAATAAATTGTCACTTGCCACCAGTTACAAGAACTTGAGCAGGAACAAAAAATTGAATAAATATAACAATCAACAAAAGAAATAGGATTGGAAAAGCTAACACTTTAATCTACTCCTAACAACTATTAAATTACAACACTCCTGAATAAATGTTACGTTTTGTGAATGGTTGTTGATGAAATTCCATCCTCACTGCACCCAGCTCTCTTTTATAATTGATTTGGTTAGCTTTCAGCTCTGATCTTCCTTGATTTTCTGCCCTTCTGCATTTCTATCCCTGTCTGTTCCTTTGATTTTGATTTCTCTCTTGATTTTCTGCTGCCATCTTCCTTATCCTTTAAAAAGAATCCCTCAACAACTAACCTGTCACGTCAACAACCTATTGACAACGGAAAATTTCCAAATTTTAGCACCAACAATATCTTATTCACATATTAATTCTATATAAAAAGAAAATACTATATATAAATAAAATTTTAATCATATTTTCGTACTACACTAGACAAATATGAAGGCTCACATTAATAAATATACATATTTGGGTTCAAAAATTTTAAAAATAAATAATATTTAGGTTCCACTACATTTGTCTTTAGTAGTAATAAATTGATGAGAAATCCTGTACAACATTACGAAAAAAATGTGCACATGGAAAATTTGAATCATTGAAAATTTTGCCCTCTCACTTTTATTTGCATAATGTGATTGATTATTTTGGTGATCTAGATTTTCGATAATTGTAATAATGTTGATAACATTAGTCCTATGGAAATTATTTTATTTGGTTTGGTTTTCAAAATCTATCTTTTAGATTTAATATAAAAAATAAAAACTAAAAATTAAAAACACTTATTATTTTTATATAATTTAAATTTTTTAGCAATGCTACATCTCTATAAATTTCTCATGCAAAAGCACTCCATAACAATTTCTTACTAGTAAGAATTCACTGCTATAGAACCAATTAGACCCGACTTAGTTGGCCACCCTGACAATAAGGGCTTAGTTCGTAGGGGGAGTTGAATCACCATGACTTTTCTAAGGGTTTAGTCCTTAGAGGGAAGTTATGGGTTCACCTCTCCCTAAGAGAGTTGAATTAAAAAGGCAAACACTTGACACTTTACATAGGATAGGGAGGCTATTTTTTATAGGTGCTAATTTAATAATTCACAACTAACTTTCTTTGATAAAAAATCGCTGCTACAAAAAAATCACCGCTATAGACTGAAAATTTCTTGCTGGTCAGAAATTTGTGAGGATTGATTTTTCTTTATATTTTTAGGCAAAAATAAATTTTAATTTAAAAAAAAAAATCTGTTTAATGTTTATTTTTATCAAATTCATTTCTATATGTTCTAATTTATTTTTTTTTTCTTTCCAAAACTAGCTTTAGAAAATCAAACCAGTATGAGTTTAGGAAACATATACAATCCCAAACAACCAGCAATCCAAAGCAACACAAACCAATTAACTAATATTAGAAAAACACACCATCATCTGCAAACACCACCTACTCCTTTATACACATAGTACCTCTTAACTTTACCTTTACATAAAGTAGCCTTTAACAAGATAAAGCCTCTTGAACCAAACAAGCTAACAAGACAGTCATAGAAATGTAACTATGTACCTAAATCCAATAATTTAATACCAAGTCATGTACTGAAAATAAGGCACCTCAACCTATGTCCCCCAACCATCCAACTATGTACCTGAATCCGAATGAAATTAACCTATGAAACCAATCAAATCAATATTAGACCATCATATGAATGGATGCCAACACGACAGTCATAGATCAACTGTCAAAATCAGATCTATGAGCTGATAAATTCAAGCAAATCCTAGAAGTATTCACAAACCATCAAAAGCAATAGTACTTACTCATCAAAAGAGTCGTATCCACTACCATTGCCCTGCATTTGTCTCATAAAGTGTTCAAACTGCTCAAAGCGTCCTTCATATGATTGAATTATCCCTTTCAGTGATGCTACCTCTTCTTTAAGGCCCTTAACCTCTTCATCACGTGCTTGTGACCTAGTTGTAGAATTGAATGCAGAAGACGGCTTTGGACCAACCCTGAAACCTCTCAAATACCTTGAACGCTTCCCAAGGACTTGAACAGTAATTTCCTCTTGTGTTAGCGGGGTTGCTCCAGGCTGTGAAGATTCCTCACGAAGTTGGTCCATCTTTTCCTGTTTGTGTTAAAAAAAGAAAAAAAAGAAAAGAAAAAAAAAAAAAAGGATCAACAGTTATCCTATTTTACAAGTACACTAACTAGTTAAGCATTATATAGGACTATGAATAACAAATATAATGAAGGTATACTTACATATAACTCCGCACAAACTGGTTCAATCCAATCTTTTTTTTTCTTACTCCAATGTGAGGTCTTGAAAAAATCTACAATGTGAGGCTCCTTTCCAGTTTCAATTCCCTACATGAAACATATAAAATGCAAGCTTAGTAATATTGTTAATAAAAAAATTGCAGCATTAACTATAAGTTTTAAAACAAAAAATATGTTACCTCAATTGAGATTGCTGCTGAAAATGACCTTGAACCCATGGTGTGATTATAGGGTAACTTTTTCCTGTTGGCTATATTTCTTGTTGACCGTTTCTACAATTCAATAGAAATATTAACTTAAAAATCAATATCCAAGCATGGTTCCTATATCTTTCCCTCCATCTCTGCAATTTCCTTACTCTGTCTCATATATAATTGTATATTATTTGAATTTCAAAGAAACTTGGGACCTTTGAGTTAATCATTGTAGTGCAATTAAAAGAAACATCCATGACTGTTAAGTTAATTACCTTGTGTGTGTCACCAAGAAACACTTCATCAATCATGTATCTCCAATCTTCTTCCCTCACCCCAACAAATGGTTTACTATAAGGATCTGTACCTTCTTTCACCAACTCTTTGTAATGTTCATGCATATGATATCGCCAGCCTTTGAACAAATGTGTGGCCTTTGTGTCAATGATTTCTTGTGGAAGTGGACTCTCATCATATCCTTCAATCTTAAACTTATCCTGTCCCAATTAAACATAAAATGAAAATTAAACATCTTATATATTAATTACTTCAATCTCAACAACTATAAAAATTAAATTACCCGCAAGGATTGTACAATAGCTGCTCGAATGACTGGTGGAACATCCTCCCAATTTTTTGTTCCCTGCAATGGGGCTTGCAATCGAATTTGTGCCCCCAATTCGTTAGCGGCCTTGCTAGCATTAAGCCCCACAAATGTCCTTCTCTCAATAGAAACTCCAACAAAAAGCTTCTTCCCACCATGTTGGCTGATGAGTCTACTACTGTTCCTACCCCTAGTTGGACCTCGTACTCGCTTTACAGATGGACCTATATTATAAACACAAAATGAAACACTATTATAGGCTGCTGCTAAATAGGTTGCTGTTGCTGTATATACAGAGCAGATTTTAAGAACTCTTTTTAAATAGCATATGTGAATGAAGATTACTATGTGTCATATAATGTATATAGGTTGCTGCTGCTGCTGCTATATAGGTTGCTGTAGATTTTAAGAACTCTCAAGTTTAAAGCATCATGGAATGTATATGCCTTTATTCAAGCTTGCTATTATGTCATGTTCATGATTATAAGATTACTATGTCTAAGATAAGATGACGGAACATAATTTGATGCATGTTTTTTGCCTCAAGGGATCAAAAATCCTGGCTCCGTCCCTAAAACAAATCCATCTGGTTTCCATCGATATAGATCGGAAACAAACATGGGCTAAGTATGATTCATACCAGTCAAATCCATGGCAAACTTACACAAGCAAAACCAACTACTAGAATGTTACAGCTTTAGTTTTCAGCAAATAATTCGAAGTTGTAAATATTGTATGATTGCTTGATCGATGAGGAAAAAAAAAAATAGTAAAACCAACTACTCCAAAAGGCCCAGCATCATATATAGGCCAAAAACCAATTATGCAGCATCAGCTCAGGTACATGGAATTGGCTATTCTTTAGTAATTTTCAACAGATACAATCCAACAATTAGGAAATTATTGTAATGTCGCTTTAGAACAGGACAGGACATGATGATTGGTTACATCTAAATCATCTAATAATATGTACGAAAATCAAATTTATTCTACAGTTTCAACTATTAAAGTCAATTAAATCATTTGCAGTGTGAAAAGATGATTTGTGAAAATTTATGCCTCCATCGACCTGCCATTCTCTAAGAAAATGAGACAATCACACGGCTGATGTTGGGCACAGAGAGATTCCATTAATTACTCATTGGAAAATTGAAAACAAATGATAGATACATGAAAGAGAATCAACAAATGTGAAACCCTAGTCCTTACAATACTTCCATGGACTGATATATGAAGGCTTAAAAAAGAAGACAGATTTGTCTTTTTGTTTATATGTAGGCAAAATATATGTTTCGCTAAGTGCTATCAGTACATTTGTACAACTTGTGAATATTAAATATGTTTTTCTAGTGATGAGCCTTGTGGTACAGTTCCCAACTATAATTTGGAAAGTTGGCATTTTGGTCCTATCTGCCCAAAATTACTTTGTAGTTTTGTGTTCAATTAAAGTACGCTTCTCATGTCGTGTACAATCACCTACTTTGAGATGGAGAGGGCTCTCATAACTTGTTTAGATGATTATGGACATGAGAAATGGCAAGAAAGGAGGAGATGTCCCTTAAAACTCATGTTTTGTTTCTCACCAAAAGTGGTGAGAAACGAAAATTACCCTTTGTAACATGCTTATAATACGTAAAATATCCCCCTCAATACAAAGTAAGTAAAATTAAAAGGCACATGTGTCCTCTTTTATTATTGTTCATCCAAGATAATGAAAAACCACGATCATTTTTCTTCTTACCTTGGTCAGAGACGTAATCATTTCATTTCTTCTCACCTTGCGACCCAAAAGGTGCCTACAATCCTTTCTTTGATATTTTGCTACGTCTTAATTCCTGATTTCATTCAATGAAAAGTTTCTGTAGGCATTTCGGGCATTATACCTGGCATTATGGACAACTGATTATCTACCTTTTATATTGCACAGCCGTTGTGGATGTGGCAGAACCAAAGAAGATTTTGGCTGATGAGGGTATAGTATCCCAACTTGCATCAATGGGGTTTAATTATCTTCATTGTCAAAAAGCTGCTATCAACACCTCAAATGCTGGGGTGGAAGAGGCAATGAATTGGTTACTATCTCACATGGATGATCCAGGTATTCGATCTTAAAAGGTCTTTTGACGGCAGTAGTTACTTTCCTAAAGTCACATTTCTTTTTTTATGTTATCTTAGATTGCAGAAGGTACTAATGCACATTTATTTTCCAGACATCGATGCACCCATCTCACAAGAGACTCAAAGTGCTGGGGTTGTGTCATCATTTGTTGATCAATCGAAAGTTGATACTTTGGTTTCATTTGGGTTTGAAGAAGATATTGCTCGGAAGGCACTGAAGGCATCGGTAAAATTCTTACTGCTACTCAATTATTTTGATTGCACTTTGTAATTTTGTCCCTAGACTGTATTAACTGTTTAGGTGTGTACCCAATCTTTTCCCTTCCAAACACATTAATGTGTACTAATTGGGCGTTGTTTTTATTGTATTAACTGTTTCTTTTTGAATATATAATTTTTAACAGGGTGGTGATATTGAGAAAGCAACGGATTGGATATTTAACCCTATTGCCTCTGGTCCATCAGATATGGATGTTTCATCAAGTTCCACGACTATTGTTGATTCTGCACTGTCTGATGGTGGAGGAAGTCAGTTCCTTGTACTCTTTTATTATGTTTTTGTTCATAAACATGAGTGCTTTTGCTGCTACTACTGCTATTACTACAAAAAATACTATCTTTGCTGTTTATCAGACTGCTATTGTGTTCCTAGTTATTATCTTTCGGGCACTTTAGAACAATATATTTCTTGGACCATTGTAATTTTCATGTTCAACGTTGAAGTTTTGCCACCAAAAAGAATAAACAAAGGAAGTATTTATGAACTCTAATGTTCTCTTTATCATAAATTTAAATTCAGAATGATTTTCATTATTGTGATAAATTCTAATTTGGGAGTTATTTGAGGAAATATCGCTAATGGTTTTTGATGAAGAAAAGTTGTATATTTTAAAGCATTTAAAACATGGATCCTTGCTCTACAATTGTTGTGAAATATTTCTGGAATTGTCTCTAATATTTAGGAATTTGGGATAATTGACATATTACTGAGACATGGAGGATAGATTTGGAATTTCCTTCTTAGGGAAAGTATTATAATAGATCTGGGAAAAAAATTTAAAATGCATGACAATTTATGAAATTATAAGATAACCTAATAGTGTAATATTAGAACCACATTACAAGTCAAGAAATTGTCAACAAAAAAATTCATTACAATTTGAAATCATCACTAAACATGTCTTCATTTTTTTTATCAACAAACAAAATAAGATTATATATAATGAACACAAATACATCAGGAGCATAGCTATCAAAACCAAACAAACTTGGCGCCAATGAGCTAGCCCAAACATCCGCTAGTAATATAACCGTTGGTGAGAAACCAACAAGAAGAAAACCAACAGGAAAACAGAGGAGAAACCAGCAGGAAGCATAAAAAACAGATTCAAGCAGCAGCCGCATTTCAGCATTACACCAGCAGATTCAAAACAGATTCAGCAGATTCAGATTAATAAGCAGATTCAGATAGATTCAGCAGCATCACCAAACAGAAGAGAAAAAAAAACATAGCGCACTTCAGCAGCAGCACACAGAGGAGACAGTAGAACAAACACAGCTTCAAACAGATTCAGACAGATTCCGATGTTTCCAAATGGACCACAATGAAGCAATAGGTACAACATTCCAGACTTGTTGTAACTAAACATGTCTTCATTAACAAGTGCATGCCAATACAATCAAGAGCATTACAATGAAAATGACTTGATAATGCAAAAAATAAAGGATATTACAATCAAGGCTCTATATCATCATCTGTATCCGAGTTACTATGACTATGAAATTCATCTTCATCATCACTAGGATCATTTGAATGTTGATCATTATCATCACAGATAAAATCATCTCTGTTTGGACCCTCTACATGTACACTTGTACTAGATTGCAGAACCACTTGACTTGGAATAATATCAGGTGCAATATCAGTCCTACGTAAAGTGTTGCTAATGGAATCTGCAATGCTGATTTGGACAATTTCAGTGGTCTCGTCCTGCTGGAACACATCATTTGGAATAGGCAATTCATTATCATCGGGATCTACATCCTCAAGCTCCGGCACATTCCATATTCCTCGACATTGAAATCGCTCTACAACTTTCCAATGTTCACCTAATTTGGTATCATTGACATAAAAAACTTGTTGCACCTGGCTTGGCAAGACAAATGGGTCATTTTGATACCAACGGCTTCTTATATCAATGGTTGTCAAATGTGTTTCAGTGTGAAATGTTCTGTTGCTACCAGTGTTAAACCATTCGCATTGAAATAACACAACTCGATGCCCGAACATGTATGTCATTTCCCAAACTTTAGTCAACTGACCATAGAAATCCATTGACATACCATGATGATCCCCTTGAACAACCAACCCACTATTTTGACTTTTACGACGGTTGTCTCGCTCTTTCGTGTGGAATCGAATGCCATTACAAATACAACCTGAATAAATATTCACTGTTGGACTAGGACCATTAGCTAATGACCACAACTCATCAGTTGCTTCCGATGATCCTTCAGCTCGTAATTGATTTATCTACATGAACATGTGACAAGGATGCATGATGTTAATATCAATCTACGAACAGTGAATTATGTTTATGATGAGAGGTTACATATTATCTATGTATCTTATATATTACCCGCTCTTTGAACCACCTAGGAAATTTTTCTTGTTGTTGTCTTGTAATGCCATGTACATTTGCATTTTGTAACTGATTCTTGTGTTCTCTACTTGAAAAATCAAATGTGAATAATTAGTACTTGAGTGTGATCATAATGAAAAGCATTTTGCATAGACTTAACTAAATGAGAACATACTCTAGATATTCATCAATTTCAGGACTATTATACAAGATAAACCAATGAGCCACTTTTCTTTCATTCTCAGACACGTCAACTGCCCTTTGAGTGAGCCCAAAAGTACGGACTTTTTGTGAAAAAACTGAATGCCCTGAGCCAACATCACCACCATCTTCATTTCTTTCCTCTCTGTTAAATACGGTTTCAATCCCACCAAGATACATAGAGCAAAAAGTTAGGCATTCTTTGACAATGTAAGCTTCTGCAATTGAACCTTCTGGGTGAGCTCGATTTGCTACATACCCTTTCAAAATCCCGAGTAATCTTCAACAAATAATAGGAAATTATTATATAAACCATATATATGGGTATACTATAATATTAAAAAAAATATAATTTCACATCAAAGAGCATAAAAATACCTTTCGATACGGTACATCCATCGATATTGCACTGGCCCTCCAAGAATGGCTTCGCGAGGCAAGTGAATAGCTAAGTGAACCATCACATCAAAGAATGCAGGTGGAAAAATTTTTTCTAGCTTGCAAAGTATGAGTACTATGCTCTCTTGTAATTTTTTCAAATCATTCACCCTCACTGTTTTTGAACATAACTGTTGAAAGTAATTTCCCAACTCAAACAATGCAATCGAAATGTCCTTGTTAAGATACCCACGCATTCCAATAGGAAGAAGTCGTTGTATAAGGACATGGCAATCATGGCTTTTCAAACCGGATAACTTGCCGCCCTTTATGCTCACACACATAGAGATGTTTGCTGCATACCCATCAGGATACCTAATCGATTTTAAGAACTCACAAAAACCTTGTCTTTCCTTTAGGGACAATGTGAACAATGCAATGGGCTTTTCAAAGGACCCATCCGCGCGCCTCTTTAAGTGCAAATCCTTCCTAATTTTCATATCCTCTAAATCCATGCGTGCTTTTTCTGTATCCTTGTTCTTTCCATCAATGCTCAACAAAGTCCCAATTAAATTATCACATATGTTCTTCTCTATGAGCATAACATCGAGGTTATGTCGTAACTTGAGTGTCTTCCAGTAAGGCAATTCGAAAAATATGCTTTTCTTTGTCCAATTCAGGACGGTATTTTCATCCCTTTTTCTTTTTTGGTTGCTTGGATGCTTCCCAAATGGTTTAAATCTTTGCAACCTTGGTGTCAATGGAAAATATCTCAAAATTTTATGAGGTATCTTCTTACCTTTGCCATCATTCATTTTGTATCTAGGCTCCTTACAAATCGAACAATTTTCTAAATTTGCATTTTCCTTCCAAAAAAGAGCACAATCATACTTACATGCATGAATAGGCACATATCCTAAACCCAAATCATGTAAAAATTTCTTCGCTTCATAAAGGGTCCATGGAACCTTTTGATCACTTTCTGGTAAAAGGCCTTTTAATACGCCTAACAACATGTCAAAAGACTTATTGCTCCACTTGTTTAAAACTTTTATATGAAGCATCTTAACGACAAATGATAACAAAGTAAACTTTTGACAGCCAAGGTATAATGGACGACGAGCATCCTCTAACAATTTATCAAAGTTTCGTCCATCTTGTCTTTGCTCATTATCATTCTGCTCACCCTCTTCATCATCATCAAAAATATGCGCCATGTGACAGTCATCTAACATATCATACAATTCATCTTCAACGTGAAGGCATTCATTGGTTGTCCCTTCATCACCAACACCTTCAATGTCATTGTCATTATTCCACACACGAGGTTGATTGACAGAAACAGTTTCCCCATGGTGCACCCAAGTCTTGTATGAAAGTGATATCCCTTTTCGGATCAAATGATATTCCACATCCTTAAAGGTATGATGTTCAAAATTTAGGCAATCCATACACGGACAACGAATTCTATTATCTACGCCAACATTTGTCATTGCAAATTGGAGAAATGACTTAACCCCTTCTCTATACTCCGAACTCAATCTATTCCTAATTGACATCTAACTCTTGTCCATATTTGGTGACCTACAAAGTGAAGATTATGTTAGGTGAATAAAGCAAAAACCAATTAACTAAAAATGAATTTTATTCCTAATTAACGTTCAAAATATATCCTGAATTGTTATTTCCCAAAATATATATCTATTGCAAGAAAACAAACAGAATGGAAGACAAGATCGGTTTCTATCTCATTTTTTATTTTTAATATTAAATTGGTGGTTGATAGGCAATCATCAATCAAGTTAACCAACACCCGCGATCTAGTTATTGAAGATTTCGCCACTGCCCAATGGGAAATAGTTGCCAATAGAAAAGAGATCCACACAAATGGGATCCATGAACTTGATTCTTTAAATTAATCAGTCTAATAAATCAAATACCAAACTAAAATATTTGTTTAAAACATTTTAAAACAGAGACATCTTAAAACATTTTTATAGTGCAAAAAGGATCATCTAGGACCAACACTATGGATATCCAATAGGGAGAGAGAAAAGAGAATATCCAATATATACATAAGAAAGGAATGGTGGGAATGCTTTTTAATAAAGTGTACAGATATATTGAATGAACCATATCTTCATCTTATAGACTTGTCAAATAAATTATTTGTTGTGTACAATTTATAGGATTATTTGCTTTTTTTTTTTTTTAAAGAAATTATCGAAGTGATAATTTTTTTTTTTTACAACATAGGAGGTAACAATAAGTTAAATAAATTAAAAACATCTAATTATTAAATTGTTAAAAGATTAATGTTGCATTTTGATGAGCGGATTAAATGATGATATATGATGTTTGGTGGAAATCAAATTAATAACAACAATTAGGTAAGTGAGATAAGCTTTTTCAAGTTTTTGACTTTGATTTCCTACTATAGATTCATTGGCCTAACTACCATGGGGTACTATATTTCTTTCAGTTTCTCCTAGTGTTTGTTTGTTCAACTAGAGATGATGGTTTTTCTAAACTTCCCACCCAAAACAAAATAAAATAAAATAAAA